CAAACATACATGCATGCATGCATGCATGCATACATACATACATACTTACATACATAGGTACATACATACATACAGCTGTATATATATGTATGTATATGTACATGTATGATTTGTTATACAAGACTACAGTGGCGCTTCGCGCCATGCACCTTGGTCCTTGAAGTTTGGTATGCAGGTGGAATGGCAGGAAGGTGGTCAAGCCGACAGTTTAGCAATGACTCCTTGTTCCCCAAACAGCTTGCTGAACGGGGTGCTGTTGTGATAGCAGCTAACTCCGGCCGAGGGAAGCCGGAGCAGAGACATCCTCACAAAAACTTGCTGGTCCGGGCCGTTTCGCTTGAGACATCCTCATAACTCTCGTGTCTGAGTTGGCCGGGATTGGCCGTTTCGCCTGAGACATCCTCGAACAATTGCGCTCCAGGACGCCGCGCGAGAGGTGGTCCAGGCCGTTTCGCTTGAGACATCCTCCAAACTCTGAGCCCCGAGGTGCCGTGCGAGAGGTGGTCCGGGCCGTTTCGCCTGAGACATCCTCGAAACTCTGAGCTCTGAGATGCCTTGCGCGAGGTGGTCCGGCCCGTTTCGCCTGAGACATCCTCGAACTTCTGAGCTCTGAGATGCCCTGCGCGAGGTGGTCCCGCCCGTCTCGCCTGAGACATCCTTGCAACTCTGAGCTCTGAGATGCCGTGCGCAAGGTGGTCCGGCCCGTTTCGCACAAGGCATTCTCGCAACTCTGAGCTCCCAGATGCCGCGCAAGAGGTGGTCCAGCCTGGGGGCCCAGAAGACCACATGTTACATATCCTCCAAGAGCTCCAAGAGGCCGCAGGACGCCCAGGACAGGCCCCAGGGGTCCCCAGGAGATTCCCAGGAGGCTCCCAGGAGGCCCCAGGAGGCCCCCTATCAGAACGTGTCAAGTTAATACACATCCGGTGCCAATTCGTTGATTTTGCCTGCTCTTGTGCCCCCCCCCATTTTGAGGGGCCCAATCGGCCACAGGTTAGATATCCCTTCTGGGAGCCCCAAGAGGCTTCAGGAAGTAGGCCACAGGAGGCCCAGGAGGAAGCCCCAGGAGGTCCCCAGGAGGCCCCAGGAGGCACCAGGAGGCCCCCGCAACTCGGAGCTTTGAGACGCCGCGCTCGAGGTGGTCCGGCTCGTTTCGCCTGAGACTTCCTCGCAGCACGTTTCGCCCGAGACACCGGCCCGTCTCGCCTGGGACATCCTTGCAACTCTGAGCTCTGAGATGCCGTGCGCAAGTTGGTCCCGCCCGTTTCGCACAAGACTTTCTCGCAGGGGTCCGCAGAAGGCCCCAGAGAGCTTCAGGAGGCCGCAGGACGCCCAGGACAGGCCCCAGGGGTCCCCAGGAGATTCCCAGGAGGCTCCCAGGAGGCCCCAGGCCCCAGGAGGCCCCCTATCAGAACGTGTCAAGATAATACACATCCGGTGTCGATTCGTTGATTTTTCCTGCTCTTGTGCCCCCCCCCCATGGGGGGGGCCCGACGGCCACATGTTAGACCTTCCCCAGGGAGCACCAAAAGGCTTCAGGAAGCTCCAGGTGGGGTCCAGGAGGCCACAGGAAGCCCAGGAGGAAGCCCCAGGAGGTCACCAGGAGGCCCCAGGAGGCCCCAGGAGGCCCCCGCAACTCGGAGCTCTGAGACGCCGCGCTCGAGGTGGTCCCGCCCGTTTCGCCTGAGACTTCCTCGCAGCACGTTTCGCCCGAGACATCGTCGCAGCTCTGGGGTCCGAGATGCCGCGCGCGAGGTGGTCTAGCCCGTTTCGCCTGAGACGCTCCGAGATGCCCTGCGCGAGGTGGTCCGGCCCATCTCGCCTGAGACATCCTCGCAACTCTGAGCTCTGAGATGCCGTGCGCAAGGTGGTCCGACCCGTTTCGCACAAGACATTCTCGCAACTCTGAGCTCTCAGATGCTGCGCAAGAGATGGTCCAGCCTGGGGTTCCAGAAGACCACATGTTACATATCCCTCCTGGGACCCTGGGAGCTCCAGGAGGCCCCAGAAAGCTTCAGGAGGCCGCAGGACGCCCAGGACAGGCCCCAGGGGTCCGCAGGAGATTCCCAGGAGGCTCCCAGGAGGCCCCAGGAGGCCGCCTATCAGAACGTGTCAAGTTAATACACAATTGTGTCGATTTATGGATTTCTCAAGTCACCAGGAGGTCCCAGCAGGCCCCAGGAGGCCCCAGGAGGCCCCCGCAACTCGGAGCTCTGAGACGCCGCGCTCGAGGTGGTCCGGCCCGTTTCGCCTGAGACTTCCTCGCAGCACGTTTCGCCCGAGACATCGTCGCAACTCTGAGCTCCCAGATGCCGCGCAAGAGGTGGTCCAGCCCGTTACGCTGGAGGCATCCTCGCAACTCTGGGATCCGAGATGCCCTGCGCGAGGTGGTCCGGCCCATCTCGCCTGAGACATCCTCGCAACTCTGAGCTCTGAGATGCCGTGCGCAAGGTGGTCCGGCCCGTTTCGCACAAGACAGTCTCGCAACTCTGAGCTCTCAGATGCTGCGCAAGAGATGGTCCAGCCTGGGGGCCCAGAAGACCACATGTTACATATCCCCCCTTGGACCCTGGGAGCCCCAGGAGGCCCCAGAGATCTTCAGGAGTCCGCAGGACGCCCAGGACAGGCCCCAGGGGTCCGCAGGAGATTCCCAGGAGGCTCCCAGGAGGCCCCAGGAGGCCCCCTATCAGAACGTGTCAAGTTAATACACAACCGGTGTCGATTCGTTGATTTTTCCTGCTCTTGTGCCCCCCCCCCCCATTTTGGGGGGGCCCGACGGCCACATGTTAGATATCCCTTCTGGGAGCCCCAAGAGGCTTCAGGAAGCCCCAGGTGGGGTCCAGGAGGCCACAGGAGGCCCAGGAGGAAGCCCCAGGAGGTCACTAGGAGGCCCCAGGAGGCCCCAGGAGGCCCCAGGAGGCCCCCGCAACTCGGAGCTCTGAGACGCCGCGCTCGAGGTGGTCCGGCCCTTTCGCCTGAGACTTGCTCGCAGCACGTTTCGCCCGAGACATCGTCGCAACTCTGGGGTCCGAAATGCCGCGCGCGAGGTGGTCCAGCCCGTTACGCTGGAGACATCCTCGCAACTCTGGGCTCCGAGATGCCGTTCGGGATGAAGAGGAGGAGGAGGAGGAGGAGGAGGAGGAGGAGGAGGAGGAGGAGGAGGAGGAGAAGGCATGTTTTAACATGCCATGCCAGCCCGCACTGGACGGGCACGCAATCGACCTTGGAAACCGCAGTGGGTCTAAAAACCCTGTTTGGGGATACTGCACTCTGGCTATAATTGCCTTTTCCGGCATCGCCGTTATAATAATGTGATACTTGATCCTTCCTTCATGCTTGCTTTTCCTCATTCTCGCCATACCCTGTGCATTCTCTCCATCCTCCTCAGCTCTTTTTGCGGAGGCTCTTCCTTGGAGAGCCTCTAGGGGCCTCATAAAAGTTTGTCCAGCTTTCTTAAGGCTTTCTGGAGGCCTCCTGGGCGTGTTCTGGGGGCCTCTGGGGGCTTCCTCGGGCCACCCTGCCTCCAACCGCGGTCTCCCTGAACGACCGGGTCACGATTTGGAATGCTTCGGAGGGCGTCTTGGGGCCATCTTGGGCCGCCATGGGGCTCTCTTAGGGCCATCTTGGACCCCTGTAGTGCCGTTTTGGGGCTCTCTTGGACTGCCTGGAAGCCCTCTCGGA